TCTATTCCTTAGCAAAATATCTCTTCTTATAGCCCCAACTTTACTTCAGGTGGTGGGGAGACCACCTTAAAATTTAGGGAAAATTGAAGATTAGTACCTTGTACTTTGGTCCAATTCTCACTTTTGTCCCCGAGCTTTAAAACATGTCAATCCAATACCTAAACTTCCAAAATGTGCCAATTTAGTCTCTACCGTTAGTAGTCTGTTAGTTATCTCTATTACGTGATGATATATGCGACTTAAAACTTTTGAAAATATCAAAATTACCCTTCAAAATAAGGCACTATTCATCATCTTCTTCCTCGAGATTCAATATTGAACCAAAGCAACATTGATCATCAAATTGGTTTTTGACAAACTACTTTTCTCTATCAGATCAGTTTTTGACAAAATAAATTGAGTATGACGTTCTCTGGACAGTTTTCTAGCCATATTTCCTTTTCCAGTGTCATATCTTGCGTATTAGAACCAATGCAAAGAATTGATTAATAAAGAAAATTAGATGACACTTAAAAGAGCATTTATGTCTTTTTACATGCCACTTAATGGTTGGTTAGCAGTAAGTACTAAATAGCATGTTTTGAAAGTTTAGGTACTATATTGGCATGTTTTAAATTTCAAGGACCAAAGTAAGACTAGGCCCAAAGTATAGGGTACTAATATGCAATTTTCCTAAAATTTATTAAAAACTAAAATAAAGATCGCAAACAATAGGGGAGGATGTAGTGGCCTTGCCCAAGAACCTAACCCAACCTAACCCAAAACCAGCTAATTAAATAAAGCAACACACAAAGAAAGAAAAGACAAGCCTAATTCTTAGCGTAGAAAGACCAATCTCATCCTTGCACACTCACTTTTTGATCGGTCTGGATCAAGTAGGGATAGTGGTGGCAACTGGGTGGGTTAGATTGGGTTTGGTTTGGGTTGAGCTTCAACCCAATCCATCTAACCCGCCAACCCATTAATGACCCAATTATATAAAATTAAATGGGTTGGGTTCAACCTAAGCCTGCTTTAAACCAATCCAACCTGCCCAAACCCATTAGTCTTATATTCTTTTACTTAAAACAAAAAAACTAACTCCTTATTGACAAAGGAGTTCGTCATAGCTTGGTGGTAATAATAGTTGCTATTTACACAAGTGGTGAATGTTTAAATCACATTACATGCATGTTACTTTTACACAAGCAACATAGCCATTTGACTGTTTGGGTTTTGGATTTGACCAAACCACTTAAGTTCAAATCGGTCAGACCAACTTGAACTATCTAATTGGATTGTCTTCAAGCTAATCACATCAAGAGTGGTTGAACCTTTTAGATCCGAATCAATCCGATTGGACCAGAGCATACCGGTTTAGTCATTGACGGATTGACTTAGACCGGCCCAGAGTAGGTTTGTCCATGGGTTTGGAACCAAATTGACTCCCCGAAGTGGGTCAAGATTTGGGTCGGGTTGTACGTATACGAGCTGTGGACCTGACAATCCAAACTGGACAAAGTAAGTGGGTCAAGAGAAGTAAATCAATCAATGACGGATTGACTTAGTCGGCTCATATCAGGTTTGTCCACGGGTTTGGGACCAAACCGACTGGCCCGAAGTGGGTCAAGAGAAGTAAATTAGGCTGATCCAGATTTGGGTCGGGTTGTACGTATACGAGCTTTGGACTGGACGACCCAAATTGGACAAAGCAAGTGGGGCAGATTTAGGGTTCGGATCCCACCCGGTCCGTTCCATTTCAGATTCGGGTTGACCTGGACTAGCATGTACTAGGTGGGTTGGGTTCGAGCTAGGCTGACCGACTGACCCAAATGGATTGAACTGAGGTGATCGGGTCTGTTCATATTTAGAGCAAGTTGAGCTGGTCTGAACTTGGGTCAAGTTGATCTGGATTTATGTCAATTTGGGTGAAGTGTGTTGATTTGAGACAAAACTAATTTTAGTCAATAATTAATAGAAAATTAATGCATTAATTATAAATTATTTCATTCAAATGAAGAAAATTAAAAAAAAGACTAAGAAATTAATATTTATATTTTTAGTGGTTAACCTAATGGTTATCCACAACCCAAACCAACCCAACCCATTTAAATTGACCCAATGGGTGATCAAACCCATTTCCAACCCGCCAAGTAAATGGGCGAGTTGGGTGGGTTCAGCGGGTTGGGTGAAAAATTACCACCCCTAACTAGGTAGGGATATCCTAGTAAGAACTTTAATGGGTACTTAGAAAATTTTTTCACACTTGTTCCTTAAAATACCCCCAGCCTACCCTTTAAAAAAAAAGAAAGTTGTATAAAACTCACCATGACTTTTCAACATTTTTCTTAAACTCAATATAACTTTTTAAAATATCCATACAACCCCATGTGAATAAATCGACATTAAAGAGACTAACGGGTGCTAGTAGATTACCACTTTATCCTTTGTTATATTCAACCCATTTTTAATATTCCAGAAATACTACCCGAATTATTGTTCAACCCAAAGCCCATCTTTCAGCTTCCCACTATGGATCAACAAGATTACCGGTTCTGCTGCTATTCTTGAGGCAGTAAAGATATTGAACAATAATAAAGACAAAGATCAAATTTGCATTTTCACTAATAGTTTCAATTCAATCGATATTGGTCACTTCAATTTGTTCTTTCCTGGCATTGAACTTCAATGTGGGTGGAAAATTTCTTCAATCTTCTATTTCTTGTTGCAATTATCCAGAACAAATCTTTCCTCTCTTTGTTGGCTTCGAAAATCTTTCAATGATGCAAGTACCTTCATGGCCTTAGATTGATGAAGCTAGATTTCTTACTTTTTCTATCCAATCTCTACCCGCAGTGAATTGCAGCCACACACACCTCTGAATTCATAATAGAAATGTGTGGCTGCAATTCACGGCGGATAGAGAGTAGGTAAGAAAAGTGAATAGAAAATCCCGTTTGTAGATTGAGATGTGCCAATATCGGCAAGGCAAGATGTGATTGGTAGAATTCGAGGCATTTGATGGCTTGAATAAGCATCCAACTGTGTATAATCGAATTCGATGGCCGCCTTTAGTATGGCTTCCAAATTGATAAAAAGTGTTGACAGATGGAAAAAATAGCTTGTGGCTCGTTTTTGACTCTGAAAGAACGATTGAAGCTAGCGACCAAATAAAACAAAGAATTGAAGCAAGATTGAACACTGGAAACTACCTCCAAAGTCCACATATTTGAATCCCAGTCATCCGATGACAGTGAAGGCATACTTGCTCGTCCACATATTTGAATCCCAATTACAATGGTAAAACACACAATCTGTAATTAAGAAGGGTCCAAAAAATGGGCATTGGAATTGTACTGCCGATTTGAAGTTCAGCGTATTCAGAACCATTAGAAGAAGAAGAAGAAGAAGAAGAGGAGGAGGAGCAGGAGAAGGAGGAGGAGGAGCTTACTGTCGATGGGGTTTTGCAGTTGGGGGGTTAAGGGCATTTTAATCATAAAAATATATTTAATAAAGCTGATTCACCATTCAGGGGCAGTTTGGTCAGGAAAATTGTATTTATACTGATGTAGACAACTTCTGTTAATGAACATTAACGTGCTCTAACACATGGTGAGTTGTAGAAAACAAAAACTCACTGACATGGGGTTCCATGGATGTTTTGAAAAGTTGTAATGAGTTTAAGAGAAAAGCTGAAAAGTCATGGTGAGTTTTAGACAGTTTCCCTTAAAAAAGTTAAAAAAACACTTTGACAATAGTAAAATATTTACCAAGTGCTCATTGAACATGCTTATTATATTGTGCCCAAGGTTCTAAATATCGATATGCCCGATATGCCGGTAGGAGCGTATCGGGCAGTATTGGTATTACTTTTTATTTTTTTAACTTGCCGGTTTAAGGTTCCTCCACCCTGTGAACTGGTCAAAACCCCGATACACCCCCTGTAGGGGCGTACAAGATCCGATCCCCTTTTTGATGTCTTCATCCAAAAGAAAAGAAAAAAAAAAAAAAGACATTATAATCATGGGAAACGCCTTCATCAATCCCAAATTCCCAATATTAGCAAGACTATAAACGGGCCTCTTTACCTCCCTCAAGATATGAACGAACTGAAACATTTGTATTGTTGTTGCCTGTTGGCAAGATTAACTGTGTGGATTGTGTGCAGTGTGATAGATAAACCAAGGATTGCTAGTAGAACCATTCAAAATTTGAATCAGAACCTTGTTATCACTTTCAATTATAATATTAGAAAGACCCCTTCGTTTGCAATATCAACTCTGTCAAGAATAACTGCAATTTCTGCCTGAATGGAGGAGGTACATTACATGAGTTCAGATTGGCGCCCCACAGAGCATGCCTCACATGCTACATGCACATCTCACTGTGCATTAAACATCTCCTGTAATTGTGGGGAGATGCTCCCAATACACAGTTGGGACGCTCTGGCAGAGGAGCCAACCTATTTAGTTCTTAAAGCCAAGAGTTGATTCTAATAATAACTTGAGAGGCAGATTTCGAATTTCCTTCATAAATTCTACACCATATCTCCAGTCTTCCCATAAAATTATTGAAGGCAAGATAGCTATAAATATAATTTGGCTCTTTTGGAGTTGGCATAAAAAATTAATACTCCAGCTTTTCTCTCGATTCCTAATATGTTGAGATTGATAAATCGGAATATCAAAGAGAGAGACTCCCACAAAGAACTTGTAACATTTATAAGAAAACCACTGACAAATAAGCAAGAAACTCAAGTCATAACCCGCAGCATGACCACAGGAATACCCTTTTTGCTTTATGTTTTCATCCATGCATCGCAATGGTATTTTGAAGAAATTTTCACATAAAAACGACTACTTTAGAAGGGAGACCAGCGTGCCACACATACTTAATCCACTATATGATGGTGGTCTCTAATTGGATTCTACGCGGCTTTCATAGAGTACTTACCAACAGAATTTACTTTCCAACACTGAAATTTCTTTCTTTTTTTTTTTTTTTTATTTAGACATCTTGTATAAAATCATTACATTGATAGCCACAAGTACTCTTGTCATGTTACATACTGGTTTGTACAACATTAATGGGTGCAAATGATGGAGTTCTTTAACAATGTTTCGGGTTCAGTTGGGAACCCAACAACTCAAATACATGACTTTTCTCAGGGATTCTTCAGATTCTTTCCCCTGCTGCTCATTTCTCATCTTTGAGGAAGAGGTGGTTGGAGTGAGCTTCTTAGCTTCAGAACAGGATCCAAGATTGTTCTTCACGTGTTGGTGGAGCTGTTTTAAAGCGTAATTCCACCTACAGAAACCTTGATCTTTTAAAGCCTCAACAGCTCCAACGCTGGCAGTCACAACCCACCCCCTGCTTCTCCTTGTCGAACTCATTTTTCCCTTCTGGGTAGTGGGTAAAACTGCTTCTCTTTTGATTTTGGTGGGTGTGGAAATTGATACAAGAACTTGTGAATTGTAATGCGTTTGAACTTTGAAGTTGGGGCGGGAAGGGTACAAAGGTTCTAATATATATATTGATTGATCGGCGGTTGTTAACAACGAAGAGCGAGGAGGGATGAACAGAATGGACGTGATTTTAGGAATTTTGGAAAACTGAAGATGGTTGATTTTACACTAAAACTGGTCTCAGAAAACAACGATAACGTACAAATGGAATCCTACAGAAAACCCGGCTGTGTAGCCTTTGAAGTTTGAATTGGCACACAAACGAAAAGGAGTCGCTGCGAGTCCAACCGTTCCCTTATGGGTTGGCACCGTTGCAACAAACAAAAACAGAAGCCCCACGGACGGACTTTTAACAGGGATATCTATGTTGCCTGAAAGGTATGATCTATTGCACAGACTGACAAACAAATATTTGTAAGTCTTCCTCTTTCCTACCTTTGTTTTCTGTAATTAATAATCTATCAAGACAATCAAAATAAGGTCGATTCTGCTTCGGGAAGAAAAAGAGGCCATTTTAACCGAAACGAGAGAATGCAGTAAAGAAAAAGGATGAAATCATTTCACTTCAGAATAGTATTGAAATCTGTCGAATATTGAAATAGTTTCAGACTTCAGAATTGAGTTGAAACCATGTTGATTGAGTGTTTCTTGTCCTCTGCCTTTGTAATGGGAATATCGTTCTTCGCCCGTTGGTGCAGACACCGCAGAGCGTATTCCTATCTTCATTCAGAATCATCTCTTTCTTTTTCTTAACAACAGAATAGAATAGAGCTTTGGATGACACTATAGATATACATAGTAGAGAGAGAAATATTTGGTGGATTCCTTGCCAAAGCCAGAGATGGTTTTATTTCCAAGTGAGTAATCGATGGTTTTTCATCTCTTTCCAATTTACCAGCGGCATTTTTTGTCTTTTTCCCAAATATACAAATCTTTGGTCCCTATTTATTCTTCTTTAGTTTATGACCAGATATTGGTATCTTCCTGGAATTGGATTCTACAGTTACGAGTTACGACTCACGAGCGTAGCTCGAATTCATTAACATTTTTAAAATCTTTTAATCGAACTTGGGGGGTTGAGGTTCGATTATCCTTGATAGAAAAGTGGAAATCAATCACCTTCCTGAGCAATATCAACGGCTGGTGAAATCTCTTCATTACAGGGCAATCTATTCTGTGTAATCTATAGTGTTATACTTTATAATTTCTTCCGACATATTAAGCGCGTGCAGATCACCAGTCGTTATTGGAATCTCCAGATAGTAGTTTAAAATAATAAATAATGAATCCTGTGGGAGGTTCTAGGAAAGGTGCGAGATCAAAACCAGTGCTATTTCTTTCCCCTGTTTCTGAGAAAACCGCAGTCGTAGAAGCTGGAGAAACTGTTATTCTAATAGTAGCGGTGCACCCCCCCTTATTTATTGCTGATTCCGTCTTTTCTTTCCTTACCACAGCAAGTGACAGCTAACTCACTTCTTCTTATTCGTCTTTCCGAGGACTCTCTGGCTCTGCAATTTCTTGTGGGTGAAGATGAGTAGTAGTGCACGAGTTTGCAAATTCGAGGCAGCTTTCAAGTCCATGCAGACGCAGAAAAACACATTGACGGAATCCGGCAAGGCCAATCAGGTCCGCCGGTTCTCCAGTGGCAGGACTCAAGCTAGTAAGATAAGGAATAGCGACGAGAAAAGGAGGAGAGAAGCGGAGAAGGCCGAGAAAGTTATGCACTTGATCTGCTGGGGTCCCAACTAAAATTACCAGTTTTTTTCTCTTGGTTTCTATATTCACTATAATTATTATTTATATTTTTGTGTGGTGAGCAGAAAGATTCATTATCATCAATTCTTGACATTGGTTACGAATTTACAAGGAAGATCTGTAACAAATGGTGTGCGAGTTATAATCTCTTATAGAGATCTTCGAAGGAGAAATGAGAACTTAATCGGATCATCTATAGTTCTTCACACTTTTTTGTTTTTTTTTCCTACGTATGTTTGTGTGTCTGTTTGTTTTTGCTTTTGCATAGCAGAATTCATCAATGGATATCCGATCATTAGCAGAGCAGTGGGCCATCAATTGAACGGTCAGAATTGATGGGTATCAGGAGATTCAGGATAAAAGATAACAAAAATAATCTTGGAGACATAAATTAGAACTTGGCCTCTTGTGCCTTCTCCAGTTATCTTAAATATAAAATCAGATAATAGAATTCCCCAGCGCCTCCTCCCCTCCACAAGAGTCAAGAAATAAAAGCCTTCTAGTCCTTTTTTCTTGCTCTGCCGTAACCACTCTTCATCAGAAATCAGAAGCATGCTTTCACTCAAACCTTGCAAGAACAATTTCCGGTCTTCTTTTCTGATAAATCCTTCAAAGTTTGGGAAGAAAACGCAGACGGTCCATCAAGGTAGCTATAGGAGTAAGTTCGCTAAGAGTTGTTAATTTCCGTTGGGTTTATTATTAAATTGAGTGGGGGATCTGTGCGTTCTGCAGCAAGGAAGGTCGATGGGAGAAGACTAGTAGTCAGAGGGTGTCAGGAAGGAGAGAAGAAGGAGAGGCGAAGTTTCTTGACCCTAGAAGAAGCTGGTTTGGTTGAAATTTCCGGTTTAAGTACTCACGAACGCTTCCTATGTCGATTAACGGTATGTGAAGAAACTCTAGTCCCTGACTCCCTGTTTCTCTTTTTGTTCGTCATTTCATTGTCTGTTTTGCTGGATTCTTCCATTCTCTTTTTCCCAATTAATTCAATCTCGACCCTAAGATGTTATTTCTGTTTTGAGCGAATTTTATACCTAAAAGACGAATTTTAATTTGTTTGGATGGTTCAAACTTCAAATAAACTGAACCTTACACTTGCAGACTGATGGAATATAAGTTATAACCTTTGGTTGCCGCAGTGCAGTGCTCATTAAAATGAATGACTGCTTGTGAAAAGATGAGTTTCTGTAAAACCCATCAATCCACCTCTTCTCTTCAAGGGCGTTTGACCCTCTAAATGCTGCTACAAGATCGACCGTTAATTTTCCTTATTTTCTGATAAAACTACGGAGATGTAATAAGGAAAATAATTGCGATGAGGAAATGCAAAGTCAGCGCAACACATATACGTATTAGTAAATATGTACGTACGTGATTGTATCTTTAAGATAAAAATATTTATAATTCATGGATAGTTTTTGAATAGTTTTAAGTGAGTAGTTTTTATAGTGAAAATAAAGGATATATATGCCCATTGTATGTTGTTTAGATAAGGGGTAGAAACGTTTAATGAAAATTTTAGAAAGAATGGGCATTTGTTCTTTTATAGGTACTATAGATTTAAGTTAACCTACTTGTCCAACTTGCATTGTCACGTTAACTTAGTTATAACTGATTAACAGTTCAGATATTCTAAAATACCCCTCTCAAGTTGGGGATGTAGTGACACCCAACTTGTGTATAAGAAAATGAAATTGGTCAGCCCCCAGAGATTTAGTAAGTATACCAGCCGGCTGAGACTTAGTGGAGAAGTGGCAGAGTTGGATGTTCTATTTTTGAACATATTCCTGAAGAAAATGGCAGCCAATCTCAATATAGTTTGTCTGTTCTTGAAAGACGGGATTTGTTGCAATATGGATAGTTGCCTAGTTATCACAATGAAGTTGAATAGGTTGTTGCAAGGAAAGACCAAGGTTGAGCCATACTAATTCACTTGTAGCCATGGCCATGGTGTGGTATTCAGCTTATGCAGAGGATCGAGAAACTTAGGCTTGTTTCTTTGTTTTCCATGATAGGAGAGATTTTCCAAGCATATTGATATATCCCATAGTCGATCTTCGTGTAAGGGGACATGTGGCCCAGTCAGAATCACAATAACCTGTAAGGGTGCAATTAGCAGATGAAGAAAAGAAAATTTCTTGATGTGGAGCTGCTTTGATGTAACACACAATGCGAAGAGTAATTTGCATGTGTTCTTCATGAGGATCATGCATAAATTGTGACAACATGTGAACTAGAACATCAATTCAGGCCTAGTAATGGTAAGGTAGATAAGGTGGCCAATGAACCGTTGATATTACACTAGATAAGTCAATGGTGGGATATCCATAATCCATGTCAATGAGCTGTTTTCGTTGCTCCATAGGATGAGATACAGGCTTGCAATCAATCATACATATTTCAGTGATGATGTCCATGGCATACTTATATTGACACACAAATTCCAAAATTAGACCATGTGACCTCAAGTCCAAGAAAGTAGTGGAAAAGCCCAAAATCTTTGAGATGAAAACAGCCATGAAGATATGTCTTAAGATCATTAATGTGGGCAACATCATTCCCGATGATAACTAGATCATCAACATACATCAGGACGACCACACATGAATCCGGAAGGTTGGAGGTAAACAATGATTAATCCACAACTGATTGGGTAACACCATAGTTCCTTAAGGCAGTAGCAAACTTTTCAAACCAGCAACAAGATGCTTGTTTGAGCCCATATAGAGATTTCTGTAGCTTACAAACTTTGTTTTTAGCATGTTTAGGAAAACACAGAGGAATGGTCATATATACTTCCTCGGACAAGTCGTCATGTAAGAAGACATTAGTCACATCCAACTAATATAGTTCCCATCCTTTTATAACAGCAAGGGCAAGAAGGCACCATAGAGTTACAAGTTTGGCCACAAGAGCATATGTATCAATGATAATCGTGGCCTTCAATTAGTGTATAACTTTTAGCAACTAGTCGCGCCTTATAGCGCTCAATGGTTCCATCAACACGAAGTTTCAATTTATACACCCATTTGGATCCTATTGGTTTCTTTCCAGGTGGTAGGTCCACAATGGACCATGTTTGGTTGTGCTCCAATGCAGCAATCTCAATTTCCATGGCCTTACACCAATTGGGGTCACGTGCAGCCTGGGAGTAAGAGGAGGGTTCAACTGGTAAGGGGGCTGTAGCAATAGTGTTGGAGAGGGAGATGGGTAAACTATAATCATAGTCACGAAGGTGAGATAGAATGTGCCTAGTACGTTGAGGACGTGTTATTGGGTTTGTGAGTAATTTGTCCAAATCAGAATTGGATGCTATAGGTGCATTATCCATGGGGACTATTGACAATGGGTTAGGCTTCATTATCCATGGATCTTGTGTTGTTAATGTCAATAGGTATTGTAGAGGGTGAAATGTCAACACATAGGTCCTCAAACTTGGGTAAAGGGATGACCACATTTTTGTGAGATGGAATAGGTGAAATCTGTGATATAGCGGTAGTAAAGGGGAATGCTGTTTCATAAAAATAAACATCTCGAGAAGTAAAAATTTGGTGGGAGTCAAGGTTGTAAACTTTGTATCCTTTTTGACCAAAAGGATAGTCTATGAAAATACATTCAGAGGCCTTTGGTGCAAATTTGTCCCTTGAAATAGGACGTTCTTGAGCATAGCACAAACATTCAAAGGTCCGTAAGTGGGTGTAAGAAGGGGCTTTGCCAAACAATAACTCATAAAGAGATTTACCTTGTAATGGTATTAAAGGAAAGTAATTGATAATGTAAGTTGCAATGAGAACACATTCTCCCCAAAATACTAAAAGGAGTGAAGCTTGAAAACACAAGGCCCGTGCAACTTCCAACAAGTGGTGGTGTTTTCTCTCAACAACACTGTTTTGTTGAGGAGAGTCTATACATGATGTTTGATGGATAATGTCATTGTTCATAAAGTATTGTTGCATTGGGCCTGAGAGAAATTCTTTACCATTATCAGAACGTACAATCCGAACAACGGTGTGAAATTGAGTTTTCACCATGTTACAAAATGAAATTAAGAAATTGTATATATCAAACTTATTTTTCATGAGGAACACCCATGTACAATGGTTATAGTCATTAACTACAGTTAAAAAATACCTATTACCTGAGTGTTTAGGTGTATGGTAAGCACCCTATATGCCACAATGGATGAGATCAAATAGAGTTGAAGTTCGAGAAGAACCCATAGGAAATGGAGTCCAGGTGTGTTTGGCCTTTTCACATATATCACAAGCTTTATTTGGTATAGCTAAGCTACCATTAGAGATGATTGGTAGTTGGCGAGATGAGACATGTCCCAGTCTATTGTGCCAAATAAAGTAGCCTTATGTAGTAGAAAATGATAGAGCAACTGAATGTTTGATAGCTAGAAGATAGTAAATTCCATTACGTAGCACCCCCTTGCCAATCAGATTCATCGAAGCTAGGTCCTGAAGTGTACAAGCAGAAGAGAATACAACAATACATCGCAATTGGAACATGAGTTTACTAATGGACAAGAGATTAAATTTAAACTTAGGGATGTATGATACATGATGCACAATGTGATTTGAGTCTAGTATAATGGAACCTTTATGTCTGGCCGGAAAGGTGGATCCATTCAGTAGATGAACTATGGTGGTAGAGAATAATGGGGAAATATGTAGGAACAAAGATAAAGTACAGGCAATGTAATTGGATGCCCCACTATCAAGTATCCAATGATTTGAAGCAATAGACATGTTGTTATTAGAAGGAAATGAAGTCTTACCTGTTTAATTAGAGGCATAAATGGTTGAAATATCAGCATTGAGTAATCTCATAAGATTATTATATTGTTCTAGAGTCAAGGCAGTAACAGAAATAAATGAAGATCCATTTTCAGGTAAAGACCCAATCATTGTGGTATAGGTAATCGTTGGGGAGCTCTGTTTTGGACCACGTCTTGGCTTCTTTTTCTCCCATCCTTCTAGATAGCCATGCAACTCATAACAACGTTCTTTGATATGACCTATCTGCTTATAGTGCTCGCATTTTGGACGAGGGCGAGCAGATTGATCAACAGTTCGTGGGACAAAGAAAGCAACGGCCTCTTGGACAATTGAACCTTTGGATGGTAGTATAGATTGATGTCGTTCTTCTTGGACTACTAGAGCGTAAGCTGAGTTGATGGTTGGAAGTGGTTCCATGGCTAGGATATTAGAACGAATATTGTTGAACAAGTCATTTAGTCCCATCAAGAACTAGTTAAGTTTGTCCCTCTCGCGTTCTACAGCTATTCCTTTTGCAGCATCACAACTACAATCAGGAAGAGTAGCAAGAATGGCTAACTCGTCCCATAGTCCTTTCAGTTTGGTGAAATAGGAGGCGGAGAGATTGCCCTGGTGCAAGGTTGACAGATCACATTTTACCTAGTAAATGCAAGGAGCATTTCCTTGTGCAAATGTTTCTTCAAGATGGCGCCAAATATCTCTGGCAGTATCAATATATGGAATGCTATCATAGAATTCACGAGGTAGGGAATTAAAGATCCATGAAATTATCATGGAATTACATTTATCCCAAATTCGTCCTTTTGTTGTGGAAGATTCAGGTCGTTCCAATGTTCTGTCAACAGAGGCAAACTTATTCTTTGCCCGTAATGCATTCCGCATAGATCTAGACCAGGTGGGATAGTTTTCAGCTGTTAGGAGACAAGAAACCGACACAGTCCCTGGATTATCCGAGGGGTGAAAGTAGTATGGGGATTCAAAACTCAGATCTGAATTCATGACGAAAAACAGAGGTTGCCGAAGAAAGGCAAGAAAGTGAAATGAATTTATCGGAGATCAAGATCATCAGAAATGAAGGAATCAGCCAAGAATTTGCAGAG